TTCCTGCTGTAATCTTCCTTTTAGGGCCTATTCTGGCCATCTCAGTGCTCTTTTTATTTTCCAGAGACAAAAGAGCCATGGGGGAATACAATGATGAAAGGGACTATGAGTGAATCTTTAAATTAAATCTGAATCTCAGCTGAAGACTTAACCACAGAGTTTGTCCTTTTACCTATAGATAGACACTAAGGACTAAGATGCCCCAAGATATGGATATTTCCCAGACTGTAACCAATAGCTCAAGACTTCACATGTCTACATTCATTCTGATGGGGCTTGCAGGCATTCACAAGTGGCAGCACTGGCTCTCCCTGACCCTGGCTCTGATCTATCTCATAGCTCTTGGTGCTAATATCTTCATCATGATCACCATTCACCATAAGCTTAAACTGCACCAGCCCATGTATCAATTCCTTAGTAGCCTTGCTGTAGTGGACATTGGCTTTGCTACTACCATCATGCTCAAGATTCTGGCCATCGCCTGGTTTGATGCTAAGGCCATCAGCCTCTCTGAGTGCTTTTCTCAAATCTATGCTGTTCACTGTTTTATATGCATGGAGTCAGGCATCTTCTTCTGTATGGCTGCAGATAGATATGTAGCCATCTGCCACTCATGTAAATACTCCATAGTTACTGAGGCTTTTGTGGTCAAAGCTATCATATTCATAGTGTTTAGGAATGTCCTGTTGACCATCCCCATACTGTAGTGGCTTCCCAGAGACACTATTGCTCCAAGAATGAAATTGAGCATTGTATGTGCTCTAACCTGGGAGTCACTGGCTTGACCTGTGATGATGCCACCATTAATAGATTTTATCAGTTGGCTTTGGCCTGGGTCGTTGGTGGAAATTACATGGCTCTACTCTTCAGTTCCTATGTTCTTATTTTTCGTTCTGTGATGAGGCTGAACTCTGCTGAGACAATAATCAAGGCTCTGAGCACCTGCAGTTCCCATCTCATCCTCATCTTTTTCTTCTACACAACCACTGTTGTAGTGTTGATAGCTCACCTGGCAAGAAAAGCAGTTCCCATCTTCCCAGTTTTCCTTAATGTACTTAACATTATCATCCCACAGCCCTTAACCCCATGATATATGCTCTTAGGGCCCAGGAGCTCAGAGTAGGCTTCCAGAGGATGCCTGAGTTAGATAAGAATGTGTCCTAGAAGTAACACAAATTAAAGAATGGGATATGTGGTACTGTAAAAGAGCACAGATTTTGAAACTCAACAAACTATGATTGGGATTTGATTTCTCTCTTTCAGTAAGAAATATAATTTGTTAGCTAACACATAAACAAAAATTCACACTCTCTAGAAATAAAAATATTGTAAATGAAAATAAATGAGAGGTAGTTCCTGCCTAAGTATAACTATATATGTTATTGTTAATGGTATCGATATACATTTTAAAATTCCAAGCATGAAAATAACTCAGATGTCCATCAGCTGATGAATGGATTTAAAAAAATGAATAGATCCATATATTTAAATATTACTCAGCAATAAAAACAAATGAAAGCTTTTCACAAAGATAGTGCCAAAAGCAGAGAATTTTGGAAGCCCCTGCCCCTCCCAAAGCCAAAACCAAAGCAAAAACTTTAAGGCAAAGAAAGCAATGCTGAAAGGCATCCACAGCCACAAAAGAAACCACATTCCAGCAGCCCAAGACACTGCAGATCCAAAGGCAGACCAAATATCCTCAGAAGAGCACCCTTAAGAGAAACAAATTTGACCACTATGCCATCATCAATTTCCCCGACCACTGAGTCAGCCATGAAGATGATAAAAGACAACAGTACACTTGTGTTCGTTGTGGATGTCAAGGTCAACAAGCACCAGATCACACAGGCTGTGAAGAAGCTCTATGACATGGACGTGGCCAAAGTTAACACCCTGATCAGGCCTGATGGAGAGAAGAAGGCATATGTTTTACTGGCTCCCAACTATGATGCTTTGGATGTTGCCAACCAAATTGAGATCATCTAAGCTGAGTCCAGCTGGCTAATTCTAAATATAAAAGTTTTTTGCTGTGAAAAAAAAAAAAGGAATAAAGTACTGACACATGCTATAGCATGGATGAACCTTAAAAATATTTATACTAATTGAAAAAAAGCCAAACAAAAAAGGTCATATGATATATAATTCTATTTATATGAAATGTGAATAATAGACAAATCTATAGAGACAGACAGTAGACTAATGTTTTTGTCAGGGGCTGCGGATGTTGGGCATGGAGATGACTATTGATGAGTAACAGATTTCTTTTTGTGGTTATAAAAATGTTCTGGTATTAGATGATGGTAATAGTTACACATCTCTATGAATATACTAAAAACCATTGAATTGTACACTTTAAAAGGGTAAGTTTATAGTATACGAACAAAGTTTTTTTTTTTAATGCTAGATGCTTGTCTAACAGTGAAGGCGGCAGATTTTCTTTCTTCTAGAAGAATTAGCATAGTAAAAATTAATTGTGCATGGCAAGAATGTAACATAAATTATTTTTTGGCTTGATAAAGGCTGACTTTTCTCATTTTATATGGAGCTAATTTGTATTGGAGCCAAGAAGCTTTCTGGAAGAAAGATAATGAGATCACCTGCCCCATAATCTCTTAATTTTAAAGTTTAATATAATATTACCTTTCCTGATGAGTAGATGAAGATGAGGCCAACAGAGTCTATACTTAATCACATCAAAGACCATAGAAAATTTCTTAAGGAAAAAAAATCTCACCATAAGTGAAGTGTGTGTGTGTGTGTGTGTGTGTGTGTGTGTGTATGCGTGCACACATGCATGCACACATTGAGAGGAAGTAGAACTGTGTGTATGCGTGCACACATGCATGCACACATTGAGAGGAAGTAGAACTGATGCGTGTACCCATGCATGCACACATTGAGAGGAAGTAGAACATGCACACACTGAGAGGAAGTAGAACTGATGGCAAAGATGGACAAGGGAGGGTTGCCAGATTTAGCCAATAAAAATACAAGATGTCAGTTAAATTTTAATTTCACATAAATAGGAAGTAATTTTTTAGTAAAAATTATGTGATGTGCAATGCAATATTTGCTACCTATTCTTATGGAAAAAGTATTTATTGTTTATATGAAATTCAAACTTAACTTGATGTTCTATATTTTATCTGGAAACCCTACAGAGAGTAGATTGCTTCCAGGTCACCATGTGGCTGAAGGTGGAACTCCTTCTGACTCTAGGGGAATATTGGGAAGAGTAACTAAGCATGTAAGTCCAAGCTAAAGGGCTATAAACTTGAGAGCCCAAGTATGGAGCATGCTTGGCCAAACATAACATTGAGGAAATGTATTCATCTTACCTCAAAAAAATTTTTAGGCAATACAGTATGGCATGGCAATGTAAACAGGTCATCAATCCTCTCCCCAGGAAACAACCATAAACTTAGAAGAAAATTAGAAATAATCATTTCATGGCTCTGAAAAACAATCAATGGAAAACTACAAATTGAGAGGCATTTATTCATGAACAGCTCCCAAACTTCAGGTAGGAGGCATAGGACTCCATTGTTCTTGCTTGGAGCTACTCCCATCCAATCTCCTCCGGTCCCAGCTTGGTTGGTGTGATAGTTTTACCAGGAAAAGACTGGATGTAAAATCAATAGCTTCACTGACAAAAGAGTCTGACTGAATTCGGAAGAGTAGAAAATATACCCAGTGCCAAATAGGAAAGTCCTGCAGTGATCCTAACCAGAGATCACTGTTGTGTTGGTTGGTACAAGCAGCAAAATAGAAGACTGACCAGGGAGATATTACAAATGAGATAAGCATAGAGGTTTTAATAAGCTCTCCACACATGCTTGACTGACCAGAAGATTGTATATACATTCACGGGAGAACAGAGCTCAAACTCTCCACACATCCTAAGCTGTCCAGGAAACTGAGTACAATTGCAGAAGAGACTCGAGGAGTCTGATGGACAATAAAAGCTGGGCAAACTGGAAAACTGCCTGAACTTTGAATGTGCTCCCCAAACCACACACAGACCCATTAGTAAAGGAGAGAAGCACTACTGGCTCAGGGTATTTGGACACAACGTCTGATAAATCAATGGTAGTCCACTAAGCTATGCAGACACAGGGCAACCCATACAAATTTAAGCTTAAAAATAAAATTTTAAGTTTAAAAAATATCTGAGCAGAAACATCAGATGAGTGCTGTGGGAGAGACAGATTCCATAGATGCCAGGAAGAATGACTAAAAACGAACAAACAAAACAGCAACAACACCCTCAGGGAAAAAAAGCAGAAAAGAAAGTTCTTTAAAATGACTAGTTTTAAAAAATTAAATATAAGACATGAAAAGAAACAGGAAATTATGACCTATATGGGGAAAATAGGGGAAAATAGTCATCAGAACTGTGGCTCAGTGGACCCAGATGTTAGGTTTATCAAACACAAATTTCAGAGAACTATTGTAAATATGTTCAAAGAATTAAAGGGAACCATGTAAAGAATTAAAGGAAAATACAGAGGATCTCAATAAAGAAATACAAACTATACAAAAGAAAATTGGACAGATACATGCAAAAAATGAAACCAGACCACTCTCTTACATCATTTACAAAAATAAACTCAAAATGGATTAAAGACTTAAATATAAGACCCCAAACCATAAAATTCCTAGAAGAAAACATAGGTAGTAAACTTTAATATCTGTCTTAGCAACATCAAAACCACAATGAAATACTACCTCCTACCTGACAGAATGGCTATAATCAAAAGGTCAACAAATAACAAGTACTGGTGAAAATATAGAGAAAAGGGAACCATTGTGCAGTGCGGAGAGATTGTAAATTGGTGCAGCCACTATGGAAAATAATACTAAAAATAGAAATACCATAGGACCCAGCAATTCCATTTCTGAGTATTTATCCAAAGAAAATGAAAACATTTATTTAAAAAGATATATGCACCTCTATGTTCATTGCAGCATTATTTACAATAGCAAAGATATGGAAGCAACCTAGGTGGTCCATCGATAGATGAATGGATAAAGATGTGGTACATATATGCAATATAATATTAATCATCCATTAAAAGAATGAAGTCTTGCTTCCTTTGCTACAACATGGATGGACCTAGAGGGTATCATGCTAAGTGAAATATATCAGAGAAAAACAAATACTGTATGATTCATTTATATGTGGAATCTAAAAAAAAGAAAATGAACAAACAAAATAATACCAGACTCATAGAAACAGAGAACAAACTGATGGTTACCAGAGGGAGGGAGATAGGGAATAGGTGAAAAAGGAAAGGGAACTATAGTCGGTAACATTGTGATAACTTTGCATGGTGACAGATGTTTACTAAACAGTGTGGGCATCACATCACAAGGTATATAAATCACTATATGGTACATGTGAAACGAATATATTGTATGCCAACTATACTTTCATTAAAAAATTTTTAAAGAAATTATACAAAAGAATCTAATGAAATTTATGAGATTAAAAAGTATGATAACTTAAAAAATTACTTACCTGACAGGCTCAACAGCAGGTCTGAGATGGCAAAAGAAAGAGTCAGTGAACTTGAAAATAATTCAATAGTACATAATCTGATAGGCAATCACTGAAGTAATGCCCTATAGAGGTACTTGGCAGATAAAAAATTGCTCTAAACACAATCTTATTTAATTCTTATAAAATCTTGTTGATTAAATACGCTTCTTAGCATTCAGAAATTCTAGAAATCAGACTAATTTTAGTGACTGACTATATCAGTAGGAATATAACTTCAAATTTTCAGTTAGTTAACACAATAAAACATTATTTGCTATTTATGCAAAAGAAAAAGTAATAATGTTGCAAGTTGAATGACTCTACTGATGGCTTTCCTCCAAATGTTTATTTCCCCAGCTTTATTAAGATATAATTGACATATAACAATGTCTAAGTTTAAGGTGTACAACATGATAATTTTATATGCTTATATATCACAATATGATTACTGCCATAGCATTAGCTAACATCTTTATCATGTCACATAATATAATTTTTTTTGTGATGAGAACATTTAATATTTACTCTTTTAGCAACTTTCAAGTATCTAATACAGTAGTATTAGCTATAATTGCCATACTATACATTAGATCTTCAGAATTTATTTGTCTTATAACTGGAAGTTTGTGCCCTTTGACCAACATCTTCCCATTTCTCCTACCCCGCAGCCTCTGGTAACCACCATTTTACTCTGTTTCTATGAGTTTGGCATTTTCAGATTCCACTTATAAGTGATATCGTACAGTATTTGTCTATCTGACTTATTTCACTTTAACATTTCACTCATCTGCTGCAGTCTTTCACTTATGAGAACTCTTATGATTACATTGGCCCCACCCACATAATCCAGAATGGTACCTGATGATTAGCCATCATAATCTCATCTACAACTTAATTTCCCTTTGCCATGTATCCTAACATATTCACAGGTTCTAGAGATTAAGACATAGATACCTTTGGGGGCCATTATTCTGCTTACCACAGAGAGTTAAAACAAACAAACAAACTCAGAAGCTTGCAGAAATGAAAAAAATGAATGGCTTCTAAATTCTAAAGAGTAAAACATGTTTTTAAAAGGCTTCAAGCAAAACCTCCCTATAAATTTCTCAATTAATTAAAGTGCCTAAAAATGAAGAGTGTGTAATGGGTGTGCTGACAAGTAAACATCTCCAATAAATAAAGCAACTGAGGGCAAAGGTGGTACCTTACCACTAAAACATTAGAATCCCAAATCAGCCTTCATTTAGTTCAGAGAGGTGTACAGGGAAGTAATAGAGGAAAAATAGAGAATATTTGAGTATTATATCTTTAAAAGATTTGGGAGTATGTTTGTTGGCATATAAGTAAAACCAAATAAATGAGAAGCACACTAGGTTTTTAATAAACATATATTGCCAAAGAAACCAAGAACTCAGCTAAGAAAGACTTTGCCTATTCAAGAATTAACATAACTCTTGGGACCCAAGCCTTCAACACCAGGAAGTAGACTGAGAAAGCTGTGCTATTTCCCTGTGCCCATTTTAGATATGGCATAAGATAATACAAAAGGAATAAACTTCCAGAGAGAAGCTCCTATGAACCACAGAAAGGAATGAACAAGAGATCTCCTTCTAGAGAGTCTAATCAAGAAACTTCTTCCAAAACCAAGGCACAGAACCTTCCCAATGTTTGCCCAATGGGGATTTCAAAATTGCTGTAAATTAAAGACTATTGTATGTTTCATATTTTTCATATTTCCAAGTGAGAGAAATTATTATTGTTAAATATCCCTGTTACATTATCATATATTTAATAAGAGGATGAGAAATGAGGAGATAAATTTCCTTTTAAATCATAGGTCTCTTGACCACGAAGAGCTCCGACCAAATCTGAGGGAATGGTTCTTATATATACTTTGAGCTGGGTGAAGGGCTTGGATGGAACTTTGGGGTCTCTCCTATGGAGAGAATTTGAGTATGTTCTATATATAGAAAGAAGGGAAAAAAGAAATGTTAAGTGACCAAAAGCACAGATGATTGCAGAGAAATTGAGAAATTAGTACTCACTGCAAATCCATGAACATTCCTACATTTCTCACTTCCCCTTGCAACTCAGTTGGGGCCATGTTAAGGCAACATGTTCACCAATGAAAATGTGAACAAAAGTAAGAAATCACTTCAAGACCAAGGCGATTAATAATTGGAGTGCCTTCCTCTCTTTCCTTGCTTGGCAACTCTGAAAAATGCATGTTGATAGGACAACATCACAAGATGGGAAGATCCAAGATTCCTGTCACTAAAAGGAGAATAGATTCTACAGACACACACTACACCTTAAGCGAGAAAGAAATTAACTCTGTTTTGCTAATTCACTGAGATTACACATAGTTTAAGCTATCCTAACACCAACATTTTATTTTGAGATGTCTACTAAACATACAATTGGAGATGTCAAGAAACAGTTGATTATATAAATGTGATCTCAAGGGAAATGTCTAGGCTAGATATATTAATTTGGAAGTCATCTTAATTTAGAAATGGGATTTTAAAGCCATACAACTATCTCTAATTAGGAAAAAGTTATAGAGAAGAGGACATAAAATCACAGAGTATTAGCTTGCTTTGTCTTTTTAACAGCTGAATAGTTATGTGATATATTTTCTATTATCGATGTGTCCCCATAACTTGTAATTTGTTCATGTGTCCAGGTCAGACTACCAGCTTTCTAAGAAAGGCAATGCCTGTGTCTATGTCACTCAATCCATTTCGTGTATGAGTAAAGAGATTTTTTAATATAATAATGGTGATAGTTCCTTATATATAAAATGTAATCAATATCGACCTTAATCTTTTCAAAAGATTAATTTTTTTAAAAGCACTCTTTTATATTCATTATCTAATCTGATTTGTACAATAAACTTGCAGTTATGATGGCAGTGGTATTGAAGGTGAAGATAATCATCATACAGTCTTAGAAGGAAGAGGAGCCTCTAAAAATACTGGAAATCTCATATAAACCAAATCTAAAACATTTCCTCAGGCACAAACTTCAAATTAGAATTATAGCTAACACTGAGAGCCCACTAAATGCTAAGCAATGTACCAAGTAGTTTACATATTTAATTTAATTCTTATATAAACTTTAGACCCTAGCTACAAGTGATTCCATTTTATAGATTATGGCTAAATTTCCAAAAGGTGGGAACCTACCCATGGTTAAAAATCAGAAAATAAGGGAGCCAAGATTTGAGTCCGTCTCTGTTTTATTCCAACACCCATGTTCTTTCTTCTGCAACACATGGTAGAGTCAAAGCTTGGGAACTTCATTGGTAAGTTCTCTTTTCTCCTACTGGTAAGAGAAAGCTGTGAAGGAACCATGAGCTTTCTCAAGACTTACCCACAATAGATAACATGTGAGCCATACTGTCCCTGATTTGCTTGGTCTTTGCTCCATAGATGATGGGATTAAGCATGGGGGGAATTAACACATAGAGATTTGCCAGAAGAATGTGGATATGGTGGGGGATATTCTTGCCAAAGCGATGGGTCAGGAAAGTAAAAAAAGATGGAATGAAAAAGAGGAGAATGACTCCAATATGGGAACCACAGGTATTGAGAGCTTTGTGCCGGGCATCCTGGGAAGGAAGTCTAAAGACAGCTTGGAGAATCAAAGTGTAGGAAATACCAATGAGTGCAACATCTACCAAAACTGATGCCATTGGCACTGAGAAGCCATACCAGATATTGACAGTGATGTCAGCACAGGCCAATCGGGCCACCCCAATGTGCTCACAGTATGAGTGCGGGATAATATTGGTCCGACAGTATGGCAGCCTCTTCAGAAGGAATATGATAGGGAAAATTGTACCAATGCTCCGTCCCCAGATTGCCAGGGTCATTTTTCCAATTGCCATAGGAGTTAAAATGGCTGTGTACCTCAAAGGAGTACAAATGGCCACATAGCGGTCAAATGCCATGGCAAGCAGGATTCCTGACTCAGCCACAAAGGCAACATGGATGAAAAACATCTGAGTGATGCAAGCATCAAAGGCAATCTCCCCAGCATGGAACCAGAAGATAGCCAGGGCCTTGGGCACAGTGGTGGTGGACAGCAAGATGTCAGTGCCAGCCAGCATAGATAGGAAGACATACATGGGTTCATGGAGAGTGCGTTCACTGAGGACAACAAGAACAAGGGCTCCATTTCCCAAGACTGCAGTGATGTACATGAGGCAGAAGGGGATGGAAAGCCAAGTGTGGTAGTTCTCCAGTCCCGGGATGCCAAGTAGGATGAACACAGTGGGGTGGAAGGTGGTAAGGTTAGCACCAAACATGTCTGTTCTTGGAGTCTCTCTTTGAAGACTACAGAAAGAGTCAGTGGGCAGAACCAGCTCTAGGTTTCACTGAAAGTTGAACAGTAGATAATTGAATCAATCATTAATGCCTTGACTTAGAGTATGCAATGTTATGCTTTCAACTTCTACATTATCGTTGCAAACATAAATATAAAAAAAGCTCTTGATCACACCTCAGCAAAGTCTACAGTCCATTCATGACTCCTATTCTCACTTACGTGTTCCTACTCAGGCTTTGGTCGTCCTGCACCTTTTCTATTGCAATAGCATTCTAACTTATCTAGTCTCCTCATTTCCCATTTCCCGTCCTCAATCCCTCTGTATCCATCAGCTATGTTGCAGCCTGGATGGTATGCCCAAAACAAAAATCTTACTGTGTTATATCTTACAACTTTTATATGATGATTTAATGATCACAAGATAAAGCCCAAACTTCTCAAGCATGCGAGGACTTCCACAATCACAATGTTATTCTCTTCTCTAGCTTCGGTCACCTTTAGGAACTCTGACAACGTTAAATAAAACTATGATCCACTTTATACGCAGTTTTCAAAACTTCGTGACTTTTCTCAAGGTTTTTCTCTTAATCTGGAACATACTTTTCTACCTTTGGTGTTTGTTAAACCAACTGATCTTCCAATTCAGACTCAAATATTTATCATGTGGGAAGCCTTCCCCAGGTTCAAATTCTGGGCTTATGACTTTTAATTATTAATAAAAAGCAAGTTTTTCACATCTCGTAAATTTAGCCTGATCTGTGAAAATGAACTATTCATATTCATTTTGCAAGGATTAAATTAAATACTTTCTTTAAACTGCCTATTATAGTGCCTGGTTTAAAAACACTAAATAAATGCTAAATTATGGTTATTCAGTGGATAAGCACAACTTAATAGAGAGTCCAGAAACTAACATAAATATATTTGGAATTTAAAATGTGATAAAGTAACATTCCAATTTAGTGGGGAAAGGAAGGTCTATGCAATAAACTATATTGGAATATTGAACAATGTCGTTTTTTGAAAGAATAACATTAGTTCCTGCCTTACTCAGTAAACAAATAGAAATTCCAGATAAAGATGTATATTTTAAAATGTAAGACCACAAAAATATTTAAAATTTAAATGAAGGTCTTAGGAGAAAATATAGGAAAATATTTCTGGGATTGGAAAGATCTTTTGGAATAAGATTTTTTAAAAAACATATTTGATAGACAACAATAATTGAATGATGCAGAATTATAAACAAGAATAGATAAAAATTCTAGGAGAAAAGAATTATCAAATGTAATAAACGAAAGGCTATTATCCTTAAATACTAAAAGTCGATACAAATGAATGACAAAAAATTAGAAAATGTGCAAAGAATCAAAATAGACAATTCACGCTGTCCCCCCAATAGCCAATATATATATGAATAGGTGCTCAAAAGTTTTAAAAATGCAAATCAGTGTCATATGGAAATATTGTAGTTTACCCGCCAGATCAAAAGACGTAAGAAAAACAGGCCCCAGTGCTAGTGGCACAGTATGAGAACATATAAATATATCTTATAGATATTCATTGGTGTATTATAGCAATAATAAAAGAAATTATTACGACTTTCATATCTATCAATAGGGCAATAAATAAATTATAGTACACATATTAAAATGGAATGTTTTCTTTCTATTTTAAAAAAGGAGTCTTAACCATGGCATACAATTATGTGAAAAAGCAAATGGAAGATTAAAATATATAGGTTTTTTTTACTCTCAGTATATCAGGACAATTTACACCATAAGTAATAGAAAATTAATCCCAGTTTGGTTTGTGCACAAAGGAAAACGTCTTTGTTCCGGAAACTGAGAAGTATTTTTCTGGTACCAAGTTTACCCAAAGATTCAAGACGTAATCAGAGGCTCCACTTCTTCATGACTCTCAGCTCTCTCCTCCAGGGGCCAGGACCAAAGTGAGAGGAGTAAGGATTTTACCTCAGGTACAAAATTTAAGAGGGTACAAAAAAACTCAGTAAACAAGATTAATAATATTTTAATACAATCTTTTAGAAATGAAATTAATGCAAAATATCCACAATAAACAAAATTTCAAAATTTTAAATAAAGCTAGGTTGACACTGCTATACTAAGTCATATTGGAACCTGAGGCAAAAGGAAAAATGGGAGCCCTCTACATACATGTTTTTGTGTGTTTTTAATGGTCAAATTTTTCCATTTTATTTTGAAAATTATATTTATGAGTCCCTTTGGTTAAATCCAGTAAAATTTTAATAAATTCTAATGTTTATATACATAATATATTTAAAGTTAAACTAATGTTGTGAGTTTTAATATACCTACTTTGCAATGTTATTTTTTAAGCCACTTTAATATTCTGGAGAAATTAACCCTAGTTCCAGTCTTACATAGCAAAATGTCTGCAGCAGTTCAAAATGTCAAGATGTATACACTGAATAGTGAGTACTTATACTACATCATCCAGTGGCCTTGAGACAATCTCATCTGGATCAACAGTTTATTGGGTTTACTCCAAACCTAAAAATCTCAAGAACCAAACAAATATTCTCTTCCCAGAAACTTACCCTAATTCAAGAGAAAGTTTTTCCCCAACATATGAAAGAAGCTGCCAGACACAGACTCTGGGAAGACTCTTCATCTGCAGGAAGAACCTCTTGGGTGAGGAGAGAGCGTCTACTCCGCTAGGTCTCTAGGGAGCACCTGCATTAATTAGACAGAAGTGGACTCCTGTAGGACTGGTCTCCAAAGATCACTGACTCAGAAACCAGGTAGGGTGGGTAATCTATGTCCTACCTGCAGCAGTCCATTCATACTGCTAATGACTCCATATATTTGGCTAACATATGGACACAGAGTAGAATAGATATGGATTGCTGCTAGTCAATATGTAGAATATTAAAGCTCTGCCTATATCTCCTAGACCTCAATGTACATAGAAACCTGTGGGGATATAGAAGAAATAGTAGGTCAGTGGAGCTACATGGTGTGTGTGTGTGTGTGTGTGTGTGTGTGTGTGTGTGTGCGCGCGTGTGCGCGTGCGCACGTGCACACAAGCAGATAATTTTCAGTCATAAAATTAGATAATATTTAACAGTGAAGGGTCCAGAGATCAACCACCTCACCAACATTTCATATTAGTCAATCCACATACTGAACTCTATGCTAGATGCCGAAACTATAATAATGAATGAGACATATTCTCTGCCCTCACTGAGCTCAAGTTCTGGTGGTTTTATAGAGTAATTAATATTCAATTGAAACTATAAATGTTATTGCTGTAAAGACCTAGAGAACAAGGTGATCACCTCTGACTTAGGAAGACTGATAAGGCTCCAAAGAGGAGTTGACATCAGTACTCTACCATTTGCCAGCTCTGTGGCTTTGATTATTTATTGTCTATGAGCCTTGGGCACCCTTGTATATAAAACAGAGATAGCAAAGTTACAATCTCATGAAGTTGTATGAAGATTAAATAAATTAATGTGGCAGAATATTTAACATGGTTCCTAGCATAAGGTAATTTCTTAATAACATTAGCTATTGTTGCAATTATTATTATTATCATTAATATTACTATATTATATAATAATGTATAACTATACAGTTGTGTGTTTGGAGATAATGATGGAAAAGTTAGAATCAGATTATTCATGCTGTTTAGAAATTAATTTGTAGTCCTGTGATTTCTAAACTGCGGATAATGGAATGCCAGGTTCTTTTGGAGATGTAAATTGATGTGATATCAAAAAATTTACATGGACATAGATACAAATATCTATGGTCAAACAAGTGTGGGAAACACTGCAAACTCTAGCTTTCTCTTGGACAGCCATGTTTATGACTGTTCCTGTTTTGTAGTCCGTTCCAGAGTTTCAGCATTTTTCACAATTATTTGCCCATGAAACTTTTTAATAAAACACCCATTATAATACCTGATACTTATTTTTACAGAATGTTCTATGGAAAACACTTATGTAAGTAATGAAGAGGGCTTGAGAGTACTTCACAGAAAGTAATATGATTGGCTCTGTTTTTTAGAATTCTTAACATCAAGTAAATTTATAGTTCGTTACAGTGTAAAAGATTGAAAATATTGAAATCAGTTAAGAAACTAATGCAATATCTGAGGAGAAAAATGATGAATGACATAGTAATTGGTAGAGGCAATGTTAAGAAGAACATTAACAACACTAGCAACTTATCATTAATAATTTTTTTCAGATATTATGAGCTAAGGATTATGTTAAGTGCTGTGTAATCTTCTCAACAACCCTATGAGGTATTATTGTTATCTCCATTTTATAGATGAAAAAAATTGAGGACTAAAAATGTTAAATAATTCCACAAGTTCACATAGCTAGAAAACCATGGGGACAGGACTTGAATCCTGATACAACTCCAAATACATTTCAGGTAACTATTTAATGGTACAAACAATACGAGTAACAAGTAACTTCTTGAGGAGCAGGCCAGAAAGGGAGAAGTTGAGAAACTCGCTAGGGTTTCCAGCTCAGTGAGATTGATGGGATCATGATAGTCTAGTTCCCCAAAACAGGAACAGGAACAGGAAGAAAAACTAGCGTGAGAGAGAGTTCTATATCCTGGAGGAGATATACACTTCATAGGTGGGTTTATGCATTTAAAACTCAAAAGAGTCCTAGCATGGAAAGAGAGATGTGGGACTCAGTACAGATGGTGATTGAAAAAATGAGTATATATGGCATTTTCTGGAAAAGCATGAAAGAATGAGGGTCAAGAGACAACTTTGTACAATTGAAACTTATTGGATTTTGTTAATCAATGTCACCCCTCTGCCCAAGAAATGAATTAATTATTTTTAATAAGAGACAACTACAATTTTGCTAACCCGGCCATGAATAATGCACTATAATTCCTAACATTGGAGATATTCAGAAGTCAGGTAGAAGAGAAAATCGAGAGTGCCCTGTTCCTTCCTACTCTT